TTATTATCATTTTTATCAGCACAGCTACAAGTCTTAATTAGTTGGCATTTATTAAAAATTATTATTTTAAAACTTAAATTAAAAATAAAAAAACTTAAAAATTATAAATTTTAATTATATATTAAACTGATGATAAGTATCAGTGAGATATTAAATTAGAGGATGCAATAATTAATTTTTTTTATTATTATCATTTTTATCAGCACAGCTACAAGTCTTAATTAGTTGGCAATTAATTCAATCACTGAAGCAATTTGCCTAGGGTTCTATTGAAGGGTAAAAACACTGTGCGAAGAACCAGTCCATCCTACTATTCCTAAATGGCTGAAGAAAGTACTGACGCTTTGGCCTATGCCTGGAGTTTAAATAGCTCCGGTAACTTCACACATGTACTGGCAGCATCTACCCGAATGGGCCTGTTCAATATCATTGCTCGAGCGGGCCCCGGCCAGAGCTCTCTGCCTCCGAAATTGCTGCTCATCAGCTTCCAACCAAGAATCCTGAGGCAGCTTTCTTCCTTGACCGCATGCTGCGTCTCCTCGCCTGCTACTCTCTGCTCACTTGCACTTTGCGCACAATAGGAGAAGAAGAAGAAGATGGTGAGGTTCAGAGACTCTATGGACTCGCTTAAGCTGGAAAAGGCTTTGTTCATGGCGAAGATGGGGCGGTTGTGGAACCATTTCCGCCCCATAAAGCATTACAAGAACCATGGTACTTATATATATATATAGAACAAAAGCTAGCAAGTTGAGGAAATAAGATATGCTTTTCAATCTTTTCTTTTAAAAGAAAGTTTTTGCACAGGTTACCCTTGAAAGATTTCATTCATGAAGGCGGTAAGATCTTTGAAAGAGCATTCGGAATGCCTATTTATCAATACATAAGCCAAGACCGAGAACTTAATCAAGGATTCCACAAGGCCTTAGCTCAACTTTCCAAAGTTAGTACTGTTCAAAAAAAAAAAAAAAACTTTCCAAAGTTAGTATGAAAAAAATTCCTGGAGGACTACAAAGGGTTTGACGGATTGACATCGTTGGTTGATGTTGGAGGTGGAAACGGCGCTACCATTAACATGGTCATTTCAGAATACCCTTCAATTAAGGGCATAAACTGCGATCTCCCTCAAGTCATTCAAAATGCACCATCTTATCTGGGTAAGCACCATCTTCCTTTTTTTGATTCTTCAATTTCCGATCCATCAATTACTCGGTTAGGATTTCAACATGTTTCTTTTTCCACTAATTAATAGGAGTTCAACATGTTGCTGGAGATATATATGTTTGTAAAGATTCCAGAGGCAGATGCTCTTATCATCAAGGTAAGTTTCATCAACTTCTCTGAGATACCTTATATGTAGGATTAACTATGATTAGACATTAGATTCCATTTCTGGGCCTCATATTAATTAAGAAAATTAGTATACGGTGATAGGGGATCGAATATTTGAACATTAATTTTGCGTAAAAATGCAGAATGTACTGCGTAATTGGGGTGACGAAAGGTGTTTAAAAGTCCTTAAAAATTGCTAAAATGCATTGTCAAGCCAAGGGAAGCTCATCATAGCGAACGACGCGATGCCCGAGGGATCAGAACCAAGCAACGTGGCCAAACATGTCTCGCAGCTCGATGTCATGATGTTGTCCATCAAGAAGGAAGGTAGAAGAGAGAGAGAGAGTTCAAGGTGTTGTTCATCGATCATTTTTCTCCATCTCCACATCATATTATTATTGTGCCTCGGTTACAAATCAAATAAAATAATAATTAGTGAATTTATCAAGAAATATTAATAACAAAATATCATCTAAATATGCGTGAAAAATTTACTTACTTTAAGACGATTCACGCTTCTGCAGAGAGTAGATCAACCGATGCAACAGAGATATATATAGCATGTCGCCCCTAGGATGCTATAGCCTTATAATAACACTCTATGGATCTGCACTACCCATAAAGTTACCTTACTCAAAACACCTTTCTTTACCCAAGAATATTTAGAAGATAAAATAAGGTAAGGAAAGTAGGAGAATGTGGAGGAACATCCTTTTTTTGAGCAAAAGACATGTCCTCTTTATAGGACTTATGGTTTTGTAACTCCCATGTGTAGATTAATGATAGGAATAAATTGAGCAATTACTATGAAATAATGTGCCCTTAAATAGGACAATTAACTTACAACGGCTAGTTTGACTAAGTCCTTAATGGGACAATAAATTCAATTTATAAAATATATTATTTTATTTTTTATTAAAATATTTAAGTTCCAACAATTCCCTCACTATTTTAATAAAAAATAAACATTTCTTTTGGGTAAAGATGGATTATTATGCATAACAAAGGTAGCTAAGCCTTGAACCTTTACTTAGTGAGTCAACAATTCTTAATTCAAAGTCAATAGTGAACTAAGTTTTGAACTATGATCCCATTGGTAGATACAAGAATCATATCACATACATAATGATTTGAATGTTGAGTTTTTCTCACAGTTGGCGCATTATGGCCTTGCGCATGATCCTAGTTTTCATGGGTGATTTAAAAAATTGTCCATTCAATTTTCATAGAAGCAGCCTCACTTTGACACCCATATAGGTGAAATTTGTCAAAGGTGCTTCTATAACTAAGACACCCTAGTCTATGAGCTACAAATTTCATTAAGAATATAAAACTCAACCCTCAATTCGTTATGGGATAGATGCATCCTCACCTTAGGAATGGGATTGAAAATTTGTTTCGTTAAATGTTGATGCATCTTTCAACAACTACTTTTCTATGATTCGTTTTTCCCATTCGAAACCCAATTCTTAGAATTTGGGTTGGGTATCCTCATAGAAAGTTCTATATTATTGGGCTTGAACTCCATTCCCCTCAATGAGCACTAGACCTTGGACTATGATCATAGATTTTCCTCCAACTTTTGTTTTGGCCAAAAGGCTAGTTGGTGGTATAGTGGGTAAAAAGAGATTCAACTCATTCTTTTTCTTACTTTTTCACATCAACCCACATGTCTACTAGCTCATAAAATTCACATTCATATTTCTTAAATTCTCAATTCATGGTACCACAATTTTGATATCAAATCAAGCTAGTGAACCACCCTTTTCTTTCCATACATGTAGAGACATGTATTTAAATTTTTTTTTTAACTCAAATACCATTGTACCTTGTTGTACAATAGGAATATCCATCACATACCCCTTTTCTCAAATGCCTTATTACTTTTTTTCATCATACACCATTATACCATAATTGTATAATAGGAATGCAT